TACTACTTGGCAGTGGGAAAGAATGAAATATGGCCTTCTGTACCAACACAGATGGAAGTGGAGAGTGTTATGCTAAGTGAAATAAGTCAGTCAGAGGAGGACAGATATCATATGTTTTCACTCATATGTGGATCTTGAGAAACTTAACATAAGCCCATAGGGGAAGGGAAGGGGGGAAAATAGTTACCAACAGAGAGGGAGGGAAGCAAACCACAAGAGACTCTTAAATACAGAGAACAGGGGCGCCTGGGTGGCGCAGTCGGTTAAGCGTCCGACTCCAGCCAGGTCACGATCTCGCGGTCCGTGAATTCGAGCCCCGTGTCGGGCTCTGGGCGGATGGCTCAGAGCCTGGAGCCTGTTTCCGATTCTGTGTCTCCCTCTCTCTCTGCCCCTCCCTCGTTCATGCTCTGTCTCTCTCTGTCCCAAAAATAAATAAACGTTGAAAAAAAAATTAAAAAAAAAATACAGAGAACAAACTGAGGGTGGATGGGAGGTGAGGGAGAGGGGAAAATGGGTGATGGGCATTGAGGAGGGCAGTCATTGGAATGAGCACTGAGTGTTGTATGTAAGTCAATCTGACAATAAATTATATTAATAATAATAAAAAAAGAATCCCTTCCCCTTCCTTGACATTGAATCCTGTGTTGCCCACTAGGCACCCTTCTTTCTTCTAAATCTAAGGCAGCAGGGTTTAGTGGTACATGGCCACCCCAGGTACAGACTACATCCCCTGAGTGTGGCCTTGTTGCTGATTTCTCTCCAAGGGAGGGAAGCAATGTTTGCCATTTCCAGGCCCCGGACTTAACACACTGTGTGTGCACCTCATCAAGCTGGAGCATAGACTGGTGGAAACTCAGCATTGACAGCGCAGGGTACAGTGGGGCAGCGATTTTCAGGGTCCTGTATCTCTGAACGGCTCAAGGAACAGAGCTGCTCCATTGATCTGGGTCATCCACATTGGAACTGTAAGCTAGAGAGAAAAACTTACTTGTTCTTCAGATCACAATATTGTTGGGTCTCTCACTCTAAGTAAAACAAGTCTCATTACCCAGAGGTTTCTTTGTTTTCTAGTTCAGTGGGAGTAGACCCTATCCCCTGATAAAAAGGTACGTTTTACAGTGCTGTCCATCACTCAAGTGCCAATCAAGCATAAAATAACTCTCCCGCAAATGTTCCTCATGCTTCTTCCACTGTTTGAGGTCAGGATGAGTTTTCCCTGGGAAATGGTGACAAGTGGTAACTCTTCCCTTGGCCACCTCTCTTTCTGAGTGTGCAGCCACATAGTCTACTGCCCACTTCCCGGTGCTCCAGTGTCCCTATAGCTGCTATGCAGTGAAAGCCTCTTGTCCTGGGCTCTGCTTTATTACAGCAATTTCCTAAGTTCCATTTCACCAATGTCTGGAAGACAAAGACTGAGAGTATAAATAATGTAAGTCCTATTATCTTCTCCTTCAGGGTTTCTATTGATCGTGACTTAATCTCTTGAGGCAAATTGATGGTTTTAATATTAAACTGAAATGCTAGGAGTCAGCAAAGAGATCAGACAATTGAACAAAAAATAAAATTGTCCAGAGGTGGAACTTTTCCAACCCTCTGAAGGGGTTTGTTTGGGCCAGGCACATCTATTTCTTTCAGAGATTGAGATATATAGGAAAAATATCTTTATAAATACTAAGAAAGCCAAAGTGTCTAAACATGTTGAATTGGAAAAGAATTTGAGAGCCCAAGCAGAGGTGGGGGAGGTCCCTACTCAACCTCCCCCAATTTACCCAGAACCCTCTCTTGACCCCTAAATAAGAAGTGGTCCTGGCATTACTCGGCTGCAGCGAATTCTTGCTTCACTCTGTTCTTGTACTAGGTACATCATCTCTACCTAGCAAGTCCAGGACTGAGGTGACAGGCATTATAGCTTCATAACTTCCTGTAGAACTCAACCCTCCACCCTCATCCCATCCCACTCCTGCACACAGCCAAGGGCTAATTCTGTGTCCCTGAGAGACAGCTGGCAATGGTGAGTCATGAGCTATAGATATTAGAGCCAGTTACACCTGGGTTTGAATTCTGACTCTGCCATTTACTGAAAGATCTTGGACAAGAATTTAATACCTATGAGTGTCAGTTTTCTCATGGCCTAGAGATAATACTTTTACTACAGTAGAAACTAACCAGCTGTTCACCAAATCTGCCTCTCCTTCTTCTAGGCTCTCACAAATAGTGAGAGGCAGAGGTGGAATTTGAACCCCTGGTAGTCTGGCTGCCAAGTCATGCACACTGTCCATATATCTCAATTATGGCTGGTCATAGCACCTCAACATGGGCCATAGCTTCATCTCCAAGTTACTTGAATCTAGCCTCACCCCAGTTTCAACAAGTGTCATCTAGCCCAGCAGGAAGGTTGGGTATGTGTGCAGGGGCTGGGGTGGGAAAGCAGGAGGAAACCACCCTGCAACGCACCCTGCCCTCTGGTCAGACTAGGCTACTTGTAGTCAGTCTTTTGAACATGCCCTGAATCTTCCCACTTTCCTGCCTTTGTTATTCTGTCAGGGATGCTCTTTTCCATTGCCATCTATAGAAATCTTACAGATACTTCAAGAATCAATTCAAGGGGTGCCTGGGTAGTTGAGTCTGTTAAGCATCTGACTTCAGCTCAGGTCATGATTTCATGGTTCATGGGTTCAAGCTCTGCATCGGGCTCTGTGCCGACAGCTCAGAACCTGGAGCCTGCTTCAGATTCTGTGTCTCCCTCTCTCTCTGCCCCTCCCCTGCTCACATGCTGTCTCTCAAAAATAAATAAACATTAAAAAAAAAGAATCAATTCAAGAACCACCTCTCTCTTTGATCTTCCTGGACACAATCTCTGTGCTTCCACATAAATTCATTTGTAAATTATTATTTTTTTACACAATTAACACCCACTGTAAAAATTACCAATATAGTTGAAGCCCTGCTGTGGCTCCCTGGTTTGTGTCAATTTTCCTACCTCAGGAATCACTGCTCTCCTAAATTTGGTATTTGTTCTCACAATAGTATTCAACTTATATCTTTCCATAAAAATCATCTTGCTTGTTTCACTCAACATCATGATTTTAAGACTCTTCTAACATCATGCAAATGTTCATTTATATGAATATTATATTTATTTCTTCTCTTCTCATGGACATCTTGGTTCTTTCCAACTCTTTTGCTCTAAGAAACTATGTGAACACTCTTGTACCTGTGTTCTCATGGATTTGCAAGAATTTCCTCTGGTAAATTGGTATCATGAAGGATAACTTGGCAGTTAAGACTTATAAGGCCATAATATGATTAAGATGTAAACCCAGAAAGGTAAAATAAACCTTTGGGGCTAGTATATTTCTTATAGGAATATCTGAAGGTCTCAGGAAGGCAGCTGTGAGACTGAAAAACTGGGCAGCAATCTTTGTCACCCTCTAGGACCAGGGGGCAAGAACTGGAGTGTAGGGTGTGCAATGGAGGAACCCATGAAAAACTCTCAACTATTTCATTAAGGCCCCCAAAGAACTATACTGTAAGAATAAGGGTACGTAATAAAAAACCAAGATAAATAGCAATCGTGAAACATACATAAAGGGAAGCTACATTATTTACTTATCAGAAAGACTCTAAAAATATCTATTCTTAATAGGCTAAAGGAGAAAAATGACAAGATTGAGAATCTCACCAGAGAGCTAGAAAATATGAAATTAGCAAATGGAAATTCTGGCACTGAAAAATATAATAACCCTAATTAAGAACTCAACAGGTGGCTTTTTAAAAGTTTTTTAAGGTTTTTTTTTTTTTTTTTGAGATAGAATGCATGGGAGGGGCAGAGAAAGAGGAGGGGGGGAGGGAACCCCAAGCAGGCTCCACACAGTCATAGTGTGGAGCCCAATGTGGGGCTCAAACTCACTAACCATGAGATCTTGACCTGAACTAAAATCAAGAGTCAGAAGCTTAGCTGACTGAGCCACCCTGGCACCACTCAGCAGGTGGCTTTAATAACATAAGAGACACAGCTGAAAAGAGATTTAGTGAACTGGAAGACAGACTAAAAGATAATATCCATAATGAATATCAGAGAGACAAAACAATATGGGAGATATATAGATTGCAGTGAAAAGAACTAATATGGGGCCCCTGGTCCCCTGGCTATCAGTTAAGTATTAGACTCTCGATTTCGGGTCAGGTCATGATCTCATGGTTTGTGAGCTTGAGCCCTGCATTGGGTTCCATGTGCACTCTTTCTCTCTTTCAAAATACATAAACAATTAAAAAAAGAACTAATATAAATGTGATTGGAGAAAAAAGAGTGAGAAAGTATGTGTCACTATTATTTAAAGAGTAAGAGAAGATCTTCTGCGTCATCTACTCCTTCAAATGATCTTGGGAGGCCTGGAAGTCACATCCTATTTACAGAGGAGGTGCCTAATAAGGTAAGGGGCCTAAGACTCATGGAATTGTTAGACATTAACTTAGTGCTATAACCTCAAGGCCCTGATCAGCCACAGAGAAGCAGTTCTCATAAGGGCAAGTTGCTCTGGTACCATTTGTGTCATGAAAATCATCTCTGATTTAATCTTTGAAGTGTAATTAGAGCCAATGCTTACTGAGCGCTATGTACCACTATGCTAAGCCCCTTACTAAAACAGGTGGTCTCCCCAGTCATCACAAAAATTATGTGAAGGTACTATCATTACCAACTGCACTTTACCATGGAGGAGAATGAGGCATAGAGAAGTGACCAGCCCATAGTCCTCCAGCTAAAAGGGGGAAGGGTCAGAATATGAAGCCAGACAGTCCTCTCAATTCTCAGTAATAACAAGATAGCTGAGGCACATGAAAACAATACCAAAACCAACACATTTAAAAAATATATATCCTGTTATTTTAAAAATACATCTTATCCCTCCCCGAAGACTTCCCAACAAGAAATGAAAATGTTATGCCTATGCTACTTTATTTTTTACACAACTGAATATTCTGGAGAATACAGAGCAAGAGAATTATCTTTAAGTATTGTTCACAGAAAGAAATTTGACATTTGTTCAAAATAATTGCTCGATTTCCTTATCTGATCCAGTTTGTCTTTGCCACTGAATTCTGCAAAAGAAGAGAAAAATGTACCACTTGGAACAAATCATTATCAGAATCAAGACGAGACCGGCGGGTATGTTATTATACAACATATTTTAAATTTATGCCTCATTGGACAAGTCATAAATGCCCCAAAATGGTACTTATTTATCTTTGCTGTATCTAATTAGGCCATTCGGTCTGTGTGAGTGCTATGGCCTCTGTGAACATCTTCCCCCACCTTCACCCGGAGAGCTCTGTTTCCCAGCATCTGGACAGCTTTCTCAGGCACCTAGGCCTGCCCAGGCTTTAGCTGCTGCCAGCAGGTCAGGATCAGGCTCTAGGAAGGAAACTGTGACACCTCTGAAGGACAGCCACCTGATGCCCCTGGGACCACACAAGAGACAGAGGAGGCCCAGAGCTGCCCTCGTACATGGACTTCACTTCCACAGGCTTGGAGGCCAACGACTCTCCCCAGATTTAAACTGGGTCTCAGAACACGGCTGAATGGATAGAGTAGCCTTGCTGGCTGTACTCAGAGATGTGCCCACTATAAGGTACCCCCCCTCCCCTGCCAAGCCTTCCAGGGTGGCTTTTCCCTCATCAGAAGAGTCAGGTGAGAAGTCCTGGGGATCAGCTGGGCTGTGTGGGGTTCTCACTCCCTCACAGCTACTGCTGGAGCCAACACACCTGCAAAGAGCTGGCAGGCAGCAAAGCCTGCATTATGTGCTTGGGACAGCCTATCAGGCTGCAGTGGAGGTCTCTGCAGTGTGGAGAGCAGGGAAGGGAGGGGGTGGGGGGCCCTCAGAGCTTCCATGTGGCCCGCCTCTTCTTGAACTACCACCGCTCTGGCTGCCTCTCACTCCCCTTCAGTCAGACACAACATTTGCTAGGAGGAGAAGACTGCAATGGGGCTGACCTTGGACTATCCTACTGGGTGTTGGCTTCAGTGTTTCTTCCATTCCTTGGCTGGAAAAAAAAATGGAGCAGCTTACAGATACTGAGACAAAACTGCCTAGAACCTGTTTCTGGGCTTCAGATCCTTCCTCAACTGGGCCTTATGGCCTTATTCTCCTAACTGGGATGTCAGCAGCCCCCTTGGGAGTTCACCTGGTAATCCCTAGCCCAGGGCTGGTAGTAGGTCACCTGAGGCAGTGCTCCAGGACCCTTGATGATCCTACAGCCCACTGTCCCCGCCCCACCATTCCACCACCCCCAGTCTCTATTTATGTGGTGGGATGGTCTTCAAACCATTTATCACAGGACTTCTCACCCTAAAGACAACATAGAGACCCACTGTTTCTCAAAGCACTTTCTGGAGAATAACCACTAATAGGTCATGCAGGCAGCATGGAGGTGGAAGAACTTCCTTGATCAAACAAGTTGGGAACTACAGGTTGTTTCCTGAAGGACACGCCTGTGTACACTGTAAACCTTTGAGAGTGTTGGGTGCCGTGTTTTCCAATCTTATCCGATCTTTGCAGAGTTACCTCTTGGCGAACCTCTTAGTGACCCACAGAAGGCAGTTTGAGGGCCATGGGTCTAGTCTGATTCATAGTCTGATTTTTTTGATGAAAACAATTGAAGATCTAAGGGATGAAGCATAGCTAGCCAGTGGAGGATCACAAACACAGTTTCTGACTCTGTGACCTTTGCAAGAGGCTCGGAGATCCCAGGGCAGGAGGAGAGGATGGAGATTATACTACTTCCAGTGCATTTGGGGGCCATGTATCCTGACCTTCGTGCTCAGGGTCACAGACTCCAATTCTGGTTGCCCCCATGTCTGTCCATCAGCAGTACTCTTGCCTCCCACCCACGGTCCCAGAGCCCTGGTTTCTCAGCCTGGGTCCTTCTGGACTCTTTCCTTTATAAACATCAAGCATCTAGGAGGAGACTCTGAGAGTTACCCCTAAGTAAAGGATGAGATAGTCCCCATAATTATTCACCAGCTTGCTGGGCTATGCTTATTCTGCAGGAACTCATAATTGGGTGACAGGGGGGAACTGGGGTTAAAAACAGAGAAAAAGAAATGTGTTATACCCTGAAAAGGAAAAATGGTCGTCCCAAGGTGGCAGTGTGATCCTGCAACATAAAAACACAAACCATTATGTAACCACTTTGTGCCAAAGGTCTTCTGAAGATGTCTATGACAGCAGTTTTCAAAGTGTGGTCCCCAGACCAGAAGCATCAACAACACCTGAGAATTCTTTAGAAATGTCTATTCTCAGGTCCCTACTGAATTTTAACAAAGTCCCAAGGTATCTACGATTCATGGTCAACCTCGAGAAGCGCTGGTTTGTGCCGTCTGCAATACCTCTCCCCCAGTTTATACAACTGGTATGTGAGCCCCTGAGCCACATAAAGCAAATCCTCAGGAACAGATGGCTCTAGGTGACTCATCTGCAAGAATGGAGATGAAATATAAACAGCCAGAAGCATTGCCCCATGATTCCTATCTGCCTCAGGACAAGCTCAGGAAAACCTGAAATTAAATGCTCAGCCTCAGAGATAATTTTCAGGGGCATACTGTGAGACCAGTTCTTTCAGAAGAGATCTGAAGGGGCTATAAGACTGCCTAGCTCCAAGCACTTCCTGTCCTTCCCTTGTAGGTCTTTGGGAGTTTTGTTCTCCATGGGGGCTTACCTACCTTCTTGGTGAAATCTCCTGCATCAGTCCTCGAATCCTGTGAAGGAGGGAGGCACAGGTTACTTTAACAGGAACCACATCTCCCAGGCTTGCTGTTGTTCTGCTGTGACCCTGCACCTCCCTGGCTCCATCCTCACTAATCTTTAGGTAGCCAGAAATCAGGTGCAAAAAAGCAGTTCAGGGGAAGGGCTAACCATGGGTAGCCAATTGTAACTTCCTGTTCAGGAATGCAAGCATGTTTTCTTGAGGTAACATTTGTGTCCAGGACACAATGTTAAGTTGGCTTGCTCTTCCCAATAGCCTCAACTTGAAACTGACCCTCGGTTTGGGCAAATTTTCAAGGTTAAGCCATGGCAGCTTCGTCAGCTGTCTCTACTTGTGGGTCTGGCATAACAAGGATCAGGCTCAGTCTGGAAGGCTGCAGTCAGCAGTGGATCAGACAAGACACACTGTTGCCTGTGCATAAGATGACCAACCAATTTTCCAGGATCTGAGCAGCTTCCTGGGGATCTTGGGATTTTCAAAGCTAATACCAGGAAGGTCCTGGGCAAACTGGGATGAGTTTCAGCATTCAAAAGAAATGTTCTCGGGGAACCTGGCTGGCTCAGTCTGGCCAGTATGCGACCCTTGATGTCGGATCTCTGAGTTTGAGCCCGACCTTAGGGGTAGAGATTGCTTAAAAAAATATATTTGTAAAAAAGAAATTTTCTTTCTTTCTTTTCTTTTTTTTGCAGGGGGGGCTGCCATGCAACAAAATCTTGATTAGCATTTTGAACAATTATAGCTATTACTGAAACTGGTAATTTCTAAATTATAAAACACGATTTTTAAAGAAACAAAATTCTGAGATACAGATAAAAGGGCAGGTGGGGGCAACAACGGAAAGCAAGGGGATCACCAAGGCAAACTGTTCCCGTCAAGAGAAGAGGAAAGGTCAGGGAAAGTAAAAACAACATGGAAACTAAAAGGAAACATAGGGATGGCGAGAGCAGAAGAGAACTTTGCACTAGCCCCCCACCGACCCACCCCTGGGGGGCTCTGCAGCCACTGGGTCTGGTTCCAGGGCTGGGGACTGAGGCACAAGGTGGGCCAGCTCTCCTTCCCAAGGTGGAGGCTTAGATTCAAAGACAGCATGCAAGCGCGTGCCTCCCCACCCCCACTCCCCCAGAGACCACATGCATCTGCCATGGTTAAGTGAACTTTGGGTGGCCTAAAAGAGAAAAACACCTACGCGCTGCTGCTGAAATCTTTTCATCTTTCGGTTGGCGAGCTGCGCGGCCAGGCGCATTAACGGGCGCACCGGCGGAAACTGCAACAGAGGGCGCAGGGAGGGCGGGACACGGCCCTCTCCATTGCCCGCCTTACAGATAGTTTAATTTCCAGAATAAAGTCCATGTCAGAGCCTAAGCTTAAATTTTATGTTTTCAATAAAGAACTGCTTGCCTTTATAGCAGTCCACAATTCCAACACATCACTTACAAATATTCCCTGAGGGTAAATCAGACTTTTATCTGCCTTAATGCCAAGCGTTCTGCCCTAGTATGGCGTGCAGTGTCCCAAAGAAGCAACCCAGTGCCAATCTCTTTTCGCTCCAGGTGTGCGCTCCTAGTCTACGGAAGGAGGCAGAAGGGCAGCGTCCATAACCCTCTCCCTAATGCCTTTGATTTTCCTGCACTTCTTGTCTGTGACCTTCCAGCACACACTCAGACATACATACCCGTGTCTTGTATCTAGTTGTTGGGAATCCTCCCTGAACACTTTGGCTCAGAGTCAAGGTTCATTTGTCTCACAGAGTTTTCTTCTTCCAGTGTCCTTTCTCCCTTTGCAGTGCTCATGGCCCTTCCTGAGAATATCCCCATCCTCACTTATCCTCATTCCTAACCTATACTACAGCTGAGTCTTCGCCTCTTGGGGAAACAACACTTTGCTGTCTTGTTTGTTGTTGTTTTTTAAGGGTGTTCTTGAAGACTTGGAAAGCCTTGACTATATAAATAAGTGACTTTCTAATGGTAGAATTTCAGTTACTATGACAGAGCACCTGAATTAAGAATTTTATTCTATGACCTTCCTAATATTCCTCAAATCATACCCTGCAGAAATTCACTTACACAGGCTGCTTTTCAGGGTAACTCAAGTTTATAATAACAAACTTAGAGGTAGTGCATGTTATTCCCATAGCACATACACACGGTGATGGTTATAGAAAGTGCAGCTCCATGGATCACTACTGGAGATATGGCACTTTACACTTCTCAAAGCATTTTTTTAAATTAAAAACAATAAGGCAGTATCATAAATGCAAATAGAGGTTAAGTAATTATGGGGCCTTTTATTTTTTTTTTTTAAATATTCTTATTTATATATATTTTTTCAACGTTTATTTATTTTTGGGACAGAGAGAGACAGAGCATGAACGGGGGAGGGGCAGAGAGAGAGGGAGACACAGAATCGGAAACAGGCTCCAGGCTATCAGCGCAGAGCCCGACGCGGGGCTCGAACTCCCAGACCGCGAGATCGTGACCTGGCTGAAGCCGGACGCTTAACCGACTGCGCCACCCAGGCGCCTTTATAGGGCCTTTTAAAAACATGTATTGTAAGTGCATAATAAAAAGTTATTCCTCACTTATTTTTCCTTTTTGGTAATATATTCTCTAACTTTTCTGATGTGTCAGCCTCACATCACTTCCAGCCCAGACAGGGAGAGAGATAATATGCCGGAAGCCCCACGAAAAAGCTCTTTGAGAGCTATTATACAGACAGTGTCTGTAAGGCCCTGCTTTTCTACTTATCTGCACATATTAGGTAGGGATAAAAGGCAAGCAGAGGAGAGTGACTTTTATAGAAAGAGGAGTATGGTAAAATACTGACCCCACTTTTAACTGGATGTGTTGGCTCCTGAGTTCTGGAGTAGTGAAATTAAAAAAAAAAAAAAAAAAAAAAAAAAAAACTGAATAAGACAGGTTTTAGTCCTATTTTAGTAAGTTGATTTTAGTACGAGTTGATTTTAGTACAAGTGTCACTTGCTATAAATGTGAAAGTTACATGCCTGTGTTGCCAGGCTGGGCAGTACTCACCCTTTTGTATATATCTTGATTATCCTAGAAACAGAATTGTGAGGGTAAGTTACATGGCATTTTACTGGGGCAGGCAATTGACAAGGTTTTCAGTATAAGTTACACCAGGGACCTTATTGAATTTATCTGAATATTACAAAATAAATTGGCAATCTAAAAGGAAATCAATTAGACAAACTCAGTAAGACTAGAGTTGATGCAGGGCCTACAAAAAAGCAAGTTGTCAGCAATACATCATTATTTTAAAACTAAATCTTATTTCACCTTTCTTTGGGAGAAAAACATGGTCTGTAGTACACACAAGCAATCCCCTAATCATGTGCCAGATAACCATCGAAGATTGAAATAAAATTAATGATTGCAATTTTTGATTTGTTGCTGGGTGTACCCTGGAATTCAGCTTTTTTAGGGTTGGTTCGAATCAACCAAACTCTTCCTCACCCCCACCTCCCCAAATGCTTTCTACATGAACTTCCAATCTCTTGGCAGAAAGCCCAACTTTTCATTTCTAAGTCCTTGTTAGAGCACCACCTTGCCCTTGTTGGCGTGGATGACAGACAGGGATGGTTGCACAGGCAGCACACGCTACTCCAGGATACTGCTGTGAAGAAGACATCTTACAAAACAATAAATCAGGTTTCCATGCCCGCATTTTGTAAAATTGATTGAGAGGATTACTGTCAATGATATTGCAAATATGCTGATCTGGATAATATTGATCATTCACATCTCAATCACACTGAAATCTTCTTGAATCAACTCAAACTTCAATCCAGACAGAAATGAAAGTTGTTAATAATACTTCTAACTTGTTGCTGTTGATAAAATTACATCTTTCTGCAAACTGTGGAGCTGATACTTATGTATTCTACACACACACACACACACACACACACACCCGTCATGTATGTGTGAGTGTATGTGTGTTTTCTGGACACTTATTGGGCACACAATCGTTTTTTGTGCCATATTCATCAGCTTTATACTGTTATGTTTCAGGCCAAAAAATAACAAGGAACATGAAGATGCTTTTCCAGGTGCTAGAACTCCACTCTCAACATTTCATATGCACCTTCCTTGTTTTAATTTTGTCTTTTTACATTTAAAAAATTTCAAAATGTACTTACTTAATTTATGATTTTTTTCCTTAACTAGAACTTAAGGTTTTTTTAAATTTTTTTTTAACGTTTATTTATTTTTGAGACAGAGAGAGACAGAGTATGAACGGGGGAGGGGCAGAGAGAAGGGGAGACACAGAATCGGAAGCAGGCTCCAGGCTCTGAGCCATCAGCCCAGAGCCCAACGCGGGGCTTGAATTCACAGACCGCGAGATCGTGACCTGAGCTGAAGTCGGACGCTTAACCGACTGAGCCACCCAGGTGCCCCTAGAACTTAAGTTTCATGAGAGCAGGTAGTTTTGTTTATTTTGGCCACTACTGCACCTTTAGCACCTAACATATGGCATGCTTCCAATGAATGTATTTTTCTGAATGGATGAACGGTAGAGCTGTGTTCATAAGAATCTATTGCCACCCTCCCATCTAATCTTCTGATCCCACCAGAAACACGAAACAGGAAGACTTTCCACAGGTGTCATTATTTGTAGAACATAACTCTGCTTTCTGAATTGCTTAAAGATAGAAGTCCCCTAGAGACACACACCTGGCTTTTTTGGAGAGCAGGACTGGAAGTGGACTTAGAGCCCAGGTAGCTCATCCAGACATGGGATAGTTGAGGGAACCAGAGCCCCAGGAAAGGAAGTGACATGCCACAGGTCATATTTTAATGCAGGAGCAAGACCAGGAAGAGCCACAATCTCTCTATCCATAGATTTAAAAATATTGATAGTTCTGTTCACTGAACAAGCCCTTGCTCTTCTACAACTGGTGATGATGAACAGGATCAGCTTTGGGAAGATGGAGAAAGTGGAAGGAAATTCATTCCATGTGGCACCTTGCACTTGGGGAAACCTATAACCCAATTTAATACTGTAACTAGCACATGTGACTGCCACACTTCCACTTTTTCTGCTTATGTAGGGGACATCCTTGCAGCCTTCATTTGAGGGGTAGGGAAGCCCATTTGGTGTGAAGTGAACAGGCTGTGGCAAGGAGATGGAAAACTGAGTTTTCACCCTAAATTTTTGCTCTGGATATCAAGGCTATAAGATTAGTTTTGAAGATAAGAGAGGACAGTTGTCTTCAAACATATGCATAAGATAAACTGAAAATAAGAAGAAATAGGCATGATATACTTATGAAGTGTAAGCGAGAAAGTGATGTTTGAATCTTGAAGGATGGCCATTAGTGGCATCAGAGATAATGGTAACAGCTGGCACTGAAGTGCTGTCATTTACTGTGTTACTGTTGTAAACACTTCACAAATATTAAAGCCCTCAATCTTCACAATAACATGAGGTTTATTCCCATATTACAGATGGGAAAACTGAGACACAGAGAGATTAACAAACTTGCCAAAGTTAAGTAGATCTGGGTGTTAAACCCAGGTACTTTGGTTTTAGAGTCTGAGCTGCGAATACAGCCTGCAAAGGCATTTTGGCTAAGGAAAAGCCTGTGCAAACAAACATATAAAGGCCTGGTGTACTTGGGGAATAGTGAGCAGCTCAATGTGGCCAGGATATGGTATGCTGTGGCTTGGGGGAAGTGAGGAAGAAAAGATGTGCCTCAAGGTGAAAATATTCAGTGTATGCTAAGAGTCATGGACTCCACCCTAATACCACCCTCTTGTACTTTCCACTGAATCAAAAGTGGTTCTGTTGTGGTTCCTATCGCTGTTAGGTTCTTTACATGAGATCTATTTACCTTGTATCCACTGAAACATTACTGTTGTGGTTCCTATCACTGTTAGGTCATTTACATGAGATGATTGTTTTGAAGAACTATTATATCATAGTATATCAATTTGTAACATATACCATGATATGTCACAATATACATAATTATATATGTATGTATTATAATAATTATAAGAATATACATGAAGTACCAATATTTTATGGTATTTTATATATGACAGATTCACTTGTTTAGGAAACCTAAAACTACATTCTTACACATGTATTTAGACATACACACAGATTTCTCCTGTAGGTACCAAAAAACTGTGCTTCTTACAGATATCAATTATTATATAAACATGTGAATTGTTATAACTTAAAGAATAATTATATGCATATAACTGTTTTACCTTAGTTTGCCAAGAAAGAGTTGCCCCATATGCCAGCCACTAAAGAAAAATATGAAAAATGAATCAAAGATAAGTCTAAATTCAAATCAAAGATAAGTCTAAATTCCTTAGTCAATAGAAATCTATTACAGCACATATAAAACTCTAAAACTGTCCCATTTATGAACCTTGCATTACCTTCTCGCACAGTGGCAGTGAATTTCAACACAACTCTCAGGATGCCTTAAATGAGGCTATGAAAATGGCAATATGAGTTCCTGCTGCAGCCAAGAATCTGATCTTAAAATAGTTTTAAGTGAACATTATCCACATGATATTTTCAAGGCCAAGATGAAATAAAAATCGCACATTACTGAATAGCAGCATACCTCAAGCTGCATGATATCCAAGTCATCTGGAGGATCAGCTAGAGGTCGAGGAAATCCTATTATGAGAAATCACAAAAATATTAATTAGAGAAAAAAGTTCATAGCATTAACTTTTAAATCTTTACGTTGAAAAACATACAGAGATTCTAGAAATACAATATTTTAAAAAGGATTTACAAAGAAAACACATTTCTACCTACAACAGTAAATGTGAGATTTGTACTAAAATTAATCAAACACAATTCCTTTTTTAATTTACCAGGAGTTACCAACATAAGAGTTAGTAACTCAAGAGGGAAAAACTTAATTTGTATTTTTATGGAATTTATGGAGATAGCATATTAGGAGATGGTGTCAAGAAAGTGTGTGCATCAGAGTCAGTCTAGGGACTTTTAAGAAGTACAGATACTTGTTCTTCTGCTTCGTCAGACTTTTCAGGGGTAGGTCTGGGCAAGGGTGTTACCAGCACACAGCCGCACCCTATGCCAGTCAGCCTTTACCTGGCCTAAATGAAGTCTCCATCTCATTTGTACACAATGCAATACTTGGGGGAATAGCTACTACAGAAATTGGAGGAATCAGTTGGAGAGGTGAAATTAATGGGATAAATGTAAAACCCTGAACTTAGATTTTTTTTTAAATGTGGGACAGGGAATATTTGGTTCAAGAGTATATACATAATAACTCAGGCTAATGGTTACAAGTTACACGTGATCAGATTTCAGTTTAGTGTAAAGAAATTTTTGATGGTTGGAGCCATTCAAAAATGCAAAGTAATTTGAACCAATCCTATAAGGATTTATTAACAGGTTCTGTGTTAACAGTACAAATGAGAAAGACCATAGGAACCTTATCCTCGGGAAACAAAAAAACTTAAATAGGAAAAAGGGGGAGGTGGATATAAATATATAGATAGATAAATAAAAGGTAATAACAAATTCCCCAAAGTGTAATATAAACAAGATTCTATTGGACCCAAGAAGAGGCAGTTACTGGCTCTCTTAGGCTGGTAGTGAGTTGGGTGTCACTGAAAGTAATCAAACAGGGAAATCATAGATCCCTGCTTGCCATGAAAGGTGAAATTAGATGACCTCCAAGGTTCCTTGCAATGTCTAGGTTTTGTGATTACACTGTAAGACACAGCAAAACAAACATACTGTTTGAAATATATTTTCTGTTTGAATATATTTTCAAAACTTTTCTACACCCCTAAATCAAAATTCTAATGGAAAAGTCTGAAATTTTGAAATAGTCCACATTTCCAATTGGAGCTGCCACCACATGCCTCCCTGTATCATTTGGTGAATTACCTTGAAATTGGTAATGCATTCCGACTACTGATCCCATATCCCACCCTTGGTTCCCTGTAAAGGTACTGGTTTCTCAGAAGCTGGTGAAGCAATAGTCTTGTCCAGTCAGATCCTCGGACAGCGCCCAAGCCCACTAAGACTTGGGGCCTCCGCAGCTCTGTCTGGGATCCTGCCTCCAGGGAGCCCACAGAAAGGCCATGAAAATATTCCTTCTTCCTGTTTGCGTTCCTTTTCCCGCCCCTCTCCAACTGTCCCTCAATCCCCAGTCCTCATGTCTGTAAACTCAATTTTACTGTATTCTCTCTTCAGAATTCCAGGAACACAGATGGCTAAGACATCGGGGTCTCCAACTCATATCCCTCACAGTTTTAGCAGCTCATCTTTGGGACAGCCCTAAGTCAGGAGCTGTTTAACGACAGTTCCACAAGGGAGTCATGTCCTTTGGTAAAAGGCTGCAGCATCTAGTTCTGTCCACCCTCTCTTAAAGGTTAGGGACAAATGGGAAGCCATTTCAAAAGGGTGGAAATGGAGGTAGGTGAGGGGATTATGTTGGACTCCTTCCAGGACCCAGGATCTGAAGGATCAAGGGTTAGAGCTCAGCCCAGCTGGGGGTCTGATGAAGGGATCTCCTTACCTGAGGAGGGAATCTGTAGCATGTAGAAGCAATAGATGGCCAAGATGGAAACGAATTAAGGAGGAAGTTGTTTCATTTTCAGAGCCAGGTTCCTCTTTGCTGGCCACAGATGTGTGCTGCCCAGATAGGAGTTGAGCATTTCCTGAAGTTCCAAAGGCAGAGGCAATACTCTGCCCTGCATCTGATAGGTCCCAGTGGAGAAGGTGCCTTTGTTTGCAACGCCCGGGAGCCCGTTGGCTGAGAACCAATCAATTTTGCACAGGAGGACCCTGGCTTTCTCATAAATGTCACGCTGGGCCCTTATTTGTGGAATAATTCCTCCTGGGGTAGGCATTGTAGAGAATCATCTTTTTCAATCCAGCAATAAAAATAAAAAGTGGAGAGTCATAATTGTTATTCTATAGTGGTTTGAGAAACATTTCTGACTCTAGAAAGGCGTTTTCTCTTTTTTTAATCAAAGAACTGGATATAAATCTATACACTCTTGTGTGACGAAGTCTTATTTCCTAAGAAGCTGTTTATTTTCCACCATTAACAAAGGATGTTTTATAGTCTTTGGTGCATCTGAGAACAAAATTTGGAGTCCTGGATATAATATTACAAGAAACTCAAAAGTTCAAGTAGATATTTTAAAAAGCATAGTTAGAAATTAGACTCCTTAAGGTTTGTCCAGACTCCTTTCTATGAATAAGTTAAATATTTCAAATAAAACCAGCATATAAGAAAACATAAGTGTTTAATTACAATAATAATAACAACAATAATAACATGTCATCTACTGAGCTTCTATTTAGGATTTCACTTAGGTTATTTTATGTAGTTCTCACAGAAGATCCGTAAGGAGTGTATGATTATCCTAATTTTATGAATGGGGAAATTGAGGCTGAGAGAGAATAAGGAACTTGCCAAGGTTACCAAACCATAATGAATGCAGAGCAGGGATTGGACTCAAGGATATCTGAATCCAGTCATGTCTGTAAAAGTGTGGGATTTTAGTCAATGTGTTCACTTTTTTCTAAAAAGACCTTCCTTGATAGGGAATATATTCAATCTGCAGATTGCTTTGCCTAGTATAGGCATCTTATAATAGGGTATTATGCTAAGTGATATAAGACGAAGACAAATACTATATGATTTCACTTACATGTGAAATCTTAAAAAATAAAACAAACAACCACCACAAAACCTAGAAACAGATAGACTTATAAATACAGAAAACAAACTGGTAGTTGCCAGAAAGGAAGAGGGTAAAAGAGTGGGAGAAATAGGGGAAGGGAATTAAGAGGTACAAACCTCCAGTTACAATATAAATAAGTCATAGGATGAAAAGTATAGCAGAAGGAATATAATGAATAATATTATACTAATGTCATATGGTGACAGACGGTACTGTGGGGAACACTGTGTAAGGTATAGAGTTGTCAAGTCACTACGTTGTACACCTGAAATTAATATAATATTGTGTGTTAACTATATTTCAATAATAAAAAAAATTTAACAGCCTCTTTGAGATTGGATATGGAATAGAAAGGAGAAAGAATGAAGTCTGCAGTCTTGAAAACAGCACAACCTGTATAAGGCATATATCACATAAATATCTTTTTTTCATTATGCATATCTTTAATTTTTGCTCTTTTAAGGATTAGGAGGCAACTAACAATTGTTGAATGTTTACAATGTATTTAAAACATGTTAATACTTTACCTAAGTCATCTTATATCATTTTTTTCAGTTAATGAAAGTTTTAAGAATAATTTTGTGTGGGAGTCACTCAGAATAAACACATAAACTGTTTAATTATGACTTAAAATGTGGTATTTTGCCAAAAAATTCTAATTCATAAGAGAGTGGGAATTATAAACTACTGTATAGCAATAATATTTTGCCTACTTCCTTAAGCCAGCAAGAAAATAGAGATTTCTATTCATTACAGTATTTACCACTTTAGTTCAAGGAGAATAAACTAAGGTCTTCAAACACCAGGAAGAGATGATATCTTTGTATTGAAATACACCCACTTCCCAACTGCAAGTCTTTACTAGGAACGAATGGGAAAAAAATGAATGATTGCTTTTTGAACATAAACCACTTATCTATATGATATTAAAACACAATTACTTATGGACATTTTAGACACAACACACACATACTAGCAAAGGTTTGTGGCAGTTCTACTATCAATCAATAAGTATTGTTTAAATATTTGGTCTATCTCTACCATGAACTAAGTGATCTATGCACAAACATACATTTTTCAAATAAACCTATGTGATAACTCTGGTTTATATCAAATTAATTTTATTTTGTACATTTTTCACACATTATTTCTCAGATATTTAGAATAAAAAATAGAAATATTTTTTAACTCATTATTTTTAAAAAGATTTTATTTCTAAGTAATCTCTACACCCAACATGGGGCTGGAACTCAAAACCCTGAGATCAAGAGTCACATGCTTCACCAACTGAGCCAGCCAGGTGCCCCTAAAAACATTATTTTTAATGCTAATTCAGAAATTGGATTATGCTGATATCCCAGAAATGGAATATGTTGAAGCCCTGATCCCCAGTGTGGCTATATTTGGAGATCGGACCTTTAAGGAGATAATTAAGGCCAAATGAAGCATAAAGATAGGGCTCTAATCTGATAGGACTGGTATCTTTATTTTTTATTCAAAAAAAAATTTTTTTTTAATCTTTTATTTTTGAGAGGGAGAGAGATACAGAGTGCGAGTAGGGGAGGGGGAGCCTCCAGGCTCTGAGCTGTCAGCACAGAGCCCAACGTGGGGATCAAACTCACGAACTGCGAGATCATGACCCAAGCCAAAGTCGAATGTTTAACTGACTGAGCCACACAGGCGCCCCAGGACTGGTGTCTTTATAAGAGGAGGGAGACACCAGAATCCTTTCTCTGAGAGCACACAAAGAAAGGGCTAGGAGAAGACACAATGAGAAGGGACTGTCTGCAACCTGAGGAGTGAGGTCTCATCTGAAACATTTTGCTAGCACTTCATCCTGGACTTCCAGAGAAGTAAATTTCTGGTGTTTAAGCTACCCAGACTGTAGTCTTCAGAATGGTAGCCTGAGCAGACTAATACAAACACATGGGGGAGTGGGAGGGTTAGTCAGTTCAGGAGCCCTCCAAAAGTAAAATAATGAAATGAAAAGTGTAATGAAAGTTAGAAACTCTCAGTTTCAAATGATAAGATTATCTACCCAGAAAATCCAAAAGAATCAACTGGCAAATTAGTAGAATGAATGAGTTTACCAAAATGGCCTAATTAACAAAACAAAACAAAACAAAACAAAACAAAACAAAACTATTTTCAGGAGTAATTTTCTTGAACATAAACAAAAATAAATTTTAATTTTTTTTTTCTTTTAAAAAAAAAATTTTTTTTTTCAACGTTTATTTATTTTTGGGACAGAGAGAGACAGAGCATGAACGGGGGAGGGGCAGAGAGAGAGGGAGACACAGAATCGGAAACAGGCTCCAGGCTCTGAGCCATCAGCCCAGAGCCCGACGCGGGGCTCGAACTCACGGACTGCAAGATCGTGACCTGGCTTAAATCGGACGCTTAACCGACTGCGCCACCCAGGCGCCCCAACAAAAATAAATTTTAAAATGTATTAGGTGGGGCGCCAGAGTGGCTCAGTTGGTTAAGTGTCCTATTCTTGATCTCCACTCAGGTCATGATCTCCTGGTTTGTGAGTTCCAGCTCTGCATTGGGCTCCGTACTTACAGTGTGCAGACTGCTTGAGATTCTCCCTCTCTCTCTGCCCCTCCCACGTGCACTCACTCACACGTGCTCTCTGTCTCTCTAAATAAGCTTAAAAAAATAAAAACACATTTAAAAATTTATTAGGAAATGTAAATAGCCTTAAAAACTATGCAATTCTGAGGACTAAGCCAAAAAATAAGTATGCAATATAATAAAAAAGAAAAATACAAAACTTTACTGAAGGACGTAAGGAAATATGTGAATAAAGAAAAGACATATCATGATCGTTGAGGACAAGAGTCAATGTTGTTAAAAGTTCAACTGATGGTTGGGGCGCCTGGGTGGCGCAGTCGGTTAAGCGTCCGACTTCAGCCAGGTCACGATCTCGCGGTCCGGGAGTTCGAGCCCCACATCAGGCTCTGGGCTGATGGCTCAGAGCCTGGAGCCTGTTTCCGATCCTGTGTCTCCCTCTCTCTCTGCCCCTCCCCCGTTCATGCTCTGTCTCTCTCTGTCCCAAAAATAAATAAACGTTGAAAAAAAAATTAAAAAAAAAAAAAGTTCAACTGATGGCAAATTAATCTATAAAGTTAGTGTAATCCTTATTAAAATTCCAAAACTCCTTTTTCATGGAATTTTAAAACTGACTCTCAAATCATTTCCAGAGAGAAAATATTCAAACTATACTTTGCCAAAAAGATACTCTGCCAATGTCAAAATGTACTATAAAGCGGTAGTAATTGTTATATTGTTGTAGTCATTTTGTTATTGATCTGGTAACAGACAATAACAAATAGATAAATGGACTGGAACAGAGTCTTGAAGCAGATCATTTAAATACAGAGTAAAAGTGGTTATTTCAAATCAGTGCAAAATGACGAACTATGCTAAATGGTGTTTAGAACAACTGGCCATCCACGTGGCACCTGGTGGAGCATGTGATTCTTGATCTCAGGGTTGTAAGTTCGGGCTCTACATTGTATGCAGAGATTACTTAAAAATAAAATCTTTAAAAAAAACAATTAGCAATCTAGTTGGCAAAAAAAAAAAATCCCTAGGGGCGCCTGGGTGGCGCAGTCGGTTGAGCGTCCGACTTCAGCCAGGTCACGATCTCGCGGTCCGTGAGTTCGAGCCCCGCATCGGGCTCTGGGCTGATGGCTCAGAGCCTGGAGCCTGTTTCCGATTCTGTGTCTCCCTCTCTCTCTGCCCCTCCCCCGTTCATGCTCTGTCTCTCTCTGTCCCAAAAATAAATTTAAAAAAAAAAAAAAAGTTGAAAAAAAATCCCTATTTCACACTATAAATTTAAATAAATTTCAGAGAATTAATGAATTAAGCCTAATATACCCATAAATACACAGGGGCGCTTATATAAAATTCTATATTAGAAAGAAATAGAGTATATATTTGATTGGAACACTGTTCTTGAGCAAAATTTAGAATAGAGAAGCCATCAAGGAAAAGATTGATAAATTTTATTATATTTTAAAAATATCTATATGAAAAAGATAACCAATATTATCAAAGAAAAGACAGAGTGGGGTAACTATACAACAACTATACAGATATAATACAGAAAAAGAAAGGGGAGGGAGAGAAAGGAGGCAGGCAGGCACAACTTAAATGTCTAAC